GAATTTACCCCCCTGCACCCCAAATGTGCATTTCTTGGGGTTAAGGCGAAGCTGGAACTTCTTCATGATCTTGAATACTCGCTCCAGGTCGCCAGCATGAGACTCCGTCCGTTTGGACTTGACAATCATGTCGTCCACATACGCTTCCATGCACCCCCCTAGTACCGGCGCGAACAGCTTGTTCACCATCCGTGCATAGGTCGCCCCAGCATTCTTCAAACCAAAAGGCATCACCTTGTAACAGTATACCCCATTGGGGGTGATGAAAGCAGTCTTTTCTTCATCCGCCACTGCCATCTTGATCTGATGGTACCCACTGAATACGTCCATAAAACTCATCAGCTCACATCCTGCCGTCTCATCAACCAACTGATCAATGTTGGGGAGAGGAAAAGGATCCATCGGGCAAGCTTTATTTAGATCAGTGTAATCGACGCACATCCGCCAGGTATTCCCTTTGGGTGCGAGGACTACATTTGCCAACCATTCCGGGTAGCGGACTTCCCGGATGTGCCCAATGGATTGCAGGGTGGTCACTTGCTTGGTTACAAACTCTCTCCGTTCTGAGGAGAGGAAACGCTTCTTCTGTTTGACCGGCTTGTGGGTCGGATCCACTGCCAATCTATGGCAGATGATTTCTGGGTCGACCCCTGGCATATCCTCTGGTCCCCAAGCTAATAGCACCTTGAATGCTCGGAGGACCTCCAATAACTGCTCCTTTACTTCAAGGGGTAAGGTTTTACCTACCTTCACGTTCCGCTCTGGCTCAACCGGGTCCAAAGAAACTTCCTCGACCTCTTCCGCCGGCTCAGCTCGGGGTCGCCCCTCCTCCTTCTGGATCTCTGCACAGATCGTGCTCACATTCTCGTCGACTCGGGCTTGGCTTTTGGTCGCCCTGACGTAGCACGACCGTGACAGGCTCTGGTTCCCCTTTGCTACTCCCACCCCTGTGGGAGTGTTGAACTTTAGACATAAGTGGACAGGGGAGATTACGCACTCCAGTTCCTCCAACCCTGGTCGTCCTAAAATCAGATGGTGTGCACAATCGAGCTGTACTTCCATAAATTCCATGTCGACCCAGAGTCGGTGGGTGCCATCTCCTACCCTGGCCTTTACCGTGATAGTTCCTTCTGCTTCGATAGTATCCCCTGTAAACCCTGATAGTGGCGTATGGATTGTTTTCAGGTCGCTTCGGGACAACCCCAACTCCTTAAAGGTGTTGCTGTACATTACGTTGACCGAGCTGCCCGTATCGACCAAGGTTCGGTGAACAACCACATTATTGATCTCCACTCTTATCACCAGAGCGTCCCTGTGAGGGCTGAGGACTGGGGGATAATCCTCGTCTGTAAAGATCAGAGGTTCCTTCTTCTTCCGCTTAGGCAGCGGCGGCCTTTGTACCTCGGCCAGGTACACCATGTTCTTCCACTTCTTCCGGGAGGATACCGAATCTCCTCCAGTGTTTCCTCCCATGATGAACCGACACCCCAGGTGTCGGCGACCTTGCCTCTCCTCCTCATCTAGGTCGTCACAATCTCGCCTTAGGTGCCGCCGTCCATCTTCTTGCCCCTCTCCTGCTGTGATCGTTGCCGTGGGGGCTAGCGGCCTCCTCCAAGTCCGGTTACTTGAGGACGGTCGCTCCGATCGAGGAGGTGGCCCTCTAGCGATCAGCTGATCCATCTCCTTCTTCAACGTAACACACTCCGACGTGTTATGGGTGCTGTTACGATGGTACTCGCAGTATTTGGGTGCATCTTGCACACCATAGCTTTCTCGACCATGAGGAGGGGCCGGCAACGACTGTACCGCGTGAACAGGATGCCTATTCGCATGATACCCGGTGGGGTTCGGCCCCTTACCATAATCCTTCCTTTTCTTTCCTTCTGCCACCGGTGGCCCGCTTTTCTTCTCCTTCCGGACTGCACCGAGTAGTAGAAGGAGAAGGTCGCGGTCCATGAAGCGGGACCGGTTGTAGAGAACTATCCAGCTCTCTCCTAAGGCAGCGTCGAGGAATGCGTGTAGGGGAACCCCCTCACGTCGAACCTCGTACCGCTAGTCCCGAACCAGCAGGCCCCCTTGGACATCCCTAGCCTCCTTCTCCCACCTATTAATGAACTCCCGAAGCTGTTCCCCGTTCCGGATCTTCACATTGAGCAAATGCGAGAAGGGGAGCTTTTGTCTCCGGCTGGATGCGAAGTGCTCCAAGAACTTGTGGGCCAGGTCGCTCCACTTATCTATCGACCCCTTGGGTAACTTGTGAAACCACTCACAAGCCTGCCCCTCCAGTGTCGCCAGGAAGCACCGACACTTGATTTCTTCTGGATATGCATACATGACCACGTTGGCCCCGAAGCGAGCGAGGTGGTCTTGGGGATCGGTCGTCCCGTTGTACGCCTTGATCTGGGGAGTCTTGAAATTATCTAGGAGAGGGCAGGACATTATCCTTCTGGAGAAGGGCGTTACCTCACTGAAGACCTCCTAGCGATAGGGGTTCTGGGCATCCAGCCGCTTCTCCAGTTGTTCGTACATTTTCCACACCTCGGTTGCGCCCTTATCCCCGACTGTCATCCGTCGCTCCTCAGAACCGACCTTGGAGGTCGCTGTGGACTCCCCTTTCTTCTCCTTGAGCGTGTCTTTCAAGTCGCCTTTTCGGGCCAACCGAGTGTCCTGCAGCCGTTCGAACGCAGAGGTCCGAGGTTTCTTTGACTTGGGGTCTCCCAAACGGTCAAAAGCAGACATCCGCTCGAAGGAGGACGACTCGTCCTCTTCTTCCAGCCTGGAAAGCGCATCTGCCATCACAGCCTTCCCATTAGGCTTGGTCGCCATCTTCTTCTGGGACCGCCTCACTTTTTTCTTCAGGTCCAGCCTTCCCGCATGTGGGTCCCCCAGCCACATCTCCTACCACGACCTCGCGAATGGGCGCAAGTGCAGCCAGCACCTCCTTGAATTGTTCGGCCGTGATCCCAACCCTCTGAATGAGGGCCTCAGCCTCCCTGGTGGTGATGGGGGGGTGCCGGCCTCCGGTGGCGCTGTCCTCCCCCTATTGGGGAACTCCGGTACCTACGTTGGCGTTGCTACGTGTTTGCACCATCGTCGTTGTGGAGGATTTCTTCTGAGTATGATTCTCGAACTCTCAATGAGAGCACCAATTTGATGGACAATAAATCCACTAAATGATCTGGTTCACAGAGCGGATCGTAAGAACAAAATTACGAACGAGAATTCGAGAATTAGGTGTGTATTACTTGCTTGATTTAGCTTGAGTTCTCCCCTTTTGGGTTCCCTCTATTTATACATGAGCTCTAAACAATTAAGGTAATGCATAACCGATGGAGTCTATCCCGCCAAGGGCGCGATCCCCTTTTCCCGGCTCCGTAACGGCCAATCTGCTCCGTCTCCTTCTCCGGATTGACTCTGCCAGCTGCGCTTGGCCTGAGGTTAACTAAGCCCAGCTCCTTGGGCCGGCCCAGCTTGAGTATTTCACAGGTGCTTGACCCGAAGCTGTTTAAATGGTTCATTTGGGCCGTCCTCTGGATATCGGCCCATCATGAACATCACTGTTTTGGCTTTGACTTTCCTTTAAAAATGGCTAACGGTCATCAAAACATCGATGTCTAGAAGTCTACATCGATGTTGGGGTGATTGACTTTCAAAAATGGAAAGATTTTGTCTTAAATAGCCCAACGGTCATTTAAAAACATCGCTGTTCAACAATGAATATCGCTGTTGAAATACCTACTGCCTAGGACTTCTGAATGCCAACATCGCTGTTGGGAATTCCTACATGCATGTTGGGTTGGTTCTCCAGAATCATGGTTTGGCTGCCAACGCCGAAAATCGATGTCAAAAACCAAAGTTCTCCAAAATGAAAACCAAGTCTTGGAAACTCTTATACAATGTATTTTATGTAGAAACCAAGTATAAAAACGTAAAAACCAATTAATTAAGGTAAAAACCACGGCTAGCCAAGTTTATGTCGTTTCACATGGTTTTCACCAAAAGACCAAAAACGAAAGGTGGTTTTTAACATGTTTTTGTTGGGGAACTATTTGGATATGTCCAAAAAGAAAAACCAATCATAAAATCTTAAAAACCACATGATTCATTTGGACGCCAAAAACCAACGCCGATAACCAGCGTCGAATGCCGATAACCAACACCGAAAAAACAAAGGTTATGGTTTTTGAAAACTAGTGATTTGGAAAACCTTTAAATGTGTCCAAAAGCAAAAACCAAAGATAAAAACCCAAAAAACATTTGGTTAAAATGAATGCCAAAAACCAATGCCGAAAACCGAACGCCATAGCCGAACGCCGGTAACTGATGGTTATGGTTTTGGTTGGGCAAGAACCAAGTGTTTTTAATGTTTTAAACATGTTTGAAAAACATTTTTTTATATGAGAAATGCAAAAATAGATTTTAGCCTAAAGAGCCAAGGCGTGAGGTTAGGGTCGGTCTTGATCACATTCGTGACCGACTCAACGACACTAAGACTATGGTCTTCGTTCTTGGTCTTCTTTTAGCTCTTGTTCTCTTTCTTCTCATCTTTGGTTCTCGCCTTGTATATTCAACAACTTGTCTCGTTCACGGCGGTTTGGCATTATCAAAACCTGTCATAAAAACAAACACGACTTTGGTACGAAAACGTGATAAACCCGTGTTTCAACACTGCCAAATCTCGTAATCGTAGAACGCTGCAATCGCAAGCACTATCCGAATGGACTTTTGCATCACAACTGGAGAAATGGTTTCGTCATAGTCCATTCCATGGATTTGTCTATAACCTTTTGCTACCAATCTAGCTTTGAAGGTATGAACCTTCCCGTCTACGTCTGTTTTCTTTTTGAAAATCCACTTTCACCCTATGGGTTTTATCCCTTCGGGTGCATCAACCAAGGTCTAGACTTGGTTTGTGTACATAGACTCCATTTCTATTTCATGGCATTAAGCCATTGTTCGGATTCGGGGCACGTGATTGCCTCGAGGTAGGTCTCAGGTTCACCTTGGTCTACCAGTAAGACGTCACCTTCATCAGATACAAGGAAGCCGTATCTAACCGGAGGATTACGTATTTGGTTTGACCTACGTGGTATATCTTGAGCAATTTGAGGATCAATTGCTTGATCCTCTTGCTCACGTTCCAATACTATTGGGACTTCTTCTTGTGGTTCTCGAATTTCATCGAGGTCTACCTTTCTCCCACTAAAGATAGCGGAGAGAAACTCCTTCTCAAGGAAGGTCCCGTGCTGGGAAACAAAGATTTTGTTGTCGGTAGGGTGATAGAACTCATACCCTCTAGTTTCCTTGGGGTATCCCACAAACTTACACTTATCGGATTTGGGATCCAGCTTACTAGACGTCATGAGACGTTTTACATAAGCTTCACAACCCCATATCCTAAAGTGTGATAAACTCGGTTTTGTCCCACGCCAGATTTCGTGCGGCGTGCTCTCGACAGCTTTAGATGGAACTCGGTTGAGTGTGTATGCTACTGTTAATAGTGCTTGTCCCTAAAAAGACTCTGGTAATGTTGTCACACTCATCATACTCTGAACCATATCGAGCAGCATTCAGTTTCTCCTTTCAGACACTCCATTTAATTGGGGTGTACCGGGTGGAGTCAGCTGGGATAGGATCCCATGCTCTTTTATATAGTCGTCAAACTCTAGGCTTAAGTACTCACCTCCTCGAACCAAGTGGAGGGTCTTGATACTTTTGCCTAACTGTTTCTCTACTTCATTTCTGAATTCTTTGAATTTGTCAAAGCATTCCGATTTGTGTTTCATGCGATACACATATCCATACCGACTATGGTTGTCAGTAAATGATACGAAGTATGAGAAACCACCTCTAGCTACAGTGCTGATTCGGCCACATACATCGGAGTGTAATGAGCCCAATAAGTCACTCGCCCTTTCACCGTGGTTCGTAAATGGAGCCTTTGTCATTTTGCCCAATAAACAAGACTCACATATATCATAAGACTGAAAGTCAAACGATTCAAGTACGCTAGATTGGCGTACCTTAGATATGCGTTTCTCATTCACGTGGCCCAAACGACAATGCCAAAGGTATATGAGATTCAAACTGTTTGGTTTCCTTCTCTTAACATTTACGTTATTAACAATGGCGTCTAAGTCTAAGATATAAAGACCATGGGTCATCTTAGCAGTTGCATAGTAAATATCATTTCTAAAAACCGAAAGGCACTTGTCTTTAACGTTAATAGAAAATCCTCCTCTCTCGACATCGAAATGGAAATTAAAAAAAATACAATCATATTAAAAGAAAAATAAGAAGAGTCTAGGAGTCGGCGTCGTCGGCGTCGTCATCCTCGTCGTCCTCGACGTTTATGGGATCGCCGTCGACCGCGTCTTTAAAGTCCACCTCATTTGGAGAGGAGGACGGAGCGTAGGAGTCGTCGTCCTCATCCCCTCCTTCGAAGTTTTGGCCAAGGATGGTGCTGTCAAAAGGCGGCGGGACGTAGTTGACACCACGGAAGAACACCGTCGTGTCGTGATGTTGGCGCTACAACGTCCAGTCCATCCGCTCGATCGACTGCCCCATGCCATCCACCGTGAGGGTTAGCCGATTCAGGGTATCGGCTATGGATTGCAACGAGGCCTAGGCAGGAGTAGGGGTTGGTGCACGACTCGGGCCTGCGCCGTCTCTGTTTCCGGACTACTTCCGAAAGGTGCCGTCGGAGATCATCCAAAGCTTCGTCATCTTGGTGTCCGGGCCGGCAATATGGATGTCGGAGGACACGATGATATCCATGACGAGGAAGGCGTAGGGCAGGCTTCGCTCGGTGGCAATGGAAGCGCAATCCGCCATGTGGATCATGACGAACTTTGCCCAATTGATGTTGGCGCCGTGGATGATTGCATGAATGACCTTCAAGTCTTCGTTGAAGAGCGAGGTGTGACTGCTGTCCCGGGGGTGAAGAATCCGGGTGAGGATGTAGAGGAGGAGGCGCTTCTCCAGTGGGGCCGAGTGGATTGTCGGTGCACCGCTGTGGCGGATGAGGTTGGTGATTCCAATCTCTCGAATGACCACCGCCTCGTTGTTGAGGATCCAATCGTTGCCACCGTACGTCGCGAAGTCATCGCCTCGTATTGGCAGCCCTGCGATCCGAGAAAAAGTGGGCAAATCAATCTCTATGTCGTAGAGATTGGTGCTGTTGTAGATGGTGTCATCGTCACGGCGGAGATTGGAGTAGAACGCCCGGACAAACACTCGATTGAAGGACTGGTGGCTCTTGGATACGAAGGTCCACAAACCCGATGCTTAGAGTTGGTTGTCGAGCTCGTGGTACCCCTTTTGTTGGTGAAACAACTCGGGCAGCACCCTGGGCGGAGAGATTGGGTGTTTGGCGAAGTGCGTGAGAAATGGGGTGAGTTCCTCCTCCGAGCCAAACTCGAGAAAAGATCCGTCGAGGTAGGGAAACGGCGGGGGCGTAGAGCTTGAGGCTTCGACGGTGCTTTTCTTCTTGGAAGCCTTCGTCTTCTTTCTTCCGACCATTGTTGAGGTGTTTTGAAAAAGGAGGATGAGTTGTGTAGAAAAGGCTAAAGAATGAAGATTATGATGCTAAATGTGTGTATAATGGCCAATGGTGAGGGAAATGTATAGGGAAAGAAGTTTAGGGCCGTGTGAATTCAAAAATATAGCTGCTAGGCATTAAATGATGTGCCCAACAGCTATTATTTTTTGAATTTCAACTGCCTTCCCAGCGATGGTAGGATCTACCCATCGATGGGAAGGTCGCCACTCGAAAGCGAGGATGAATCCTAGGCTGCCTTCCCAGCGATGTTTGCATTCTCCCATCGATGGGAAGGGGGCTTCTGGAAATTGACAAAGAAGAGAACTTGGCCTTCCCAGCGATGTTAATACCTTCCCATCGCTAGGTAGGTGGTTTTGTACATCTGTTAAAAAAATTTAAAAAGTGTCAAACACCCAGCGATGAGAGGAAGTTCCCATCGATAGGTGGGGAGGTTCTGGAAAAAGTTTTTAAACAAAATTCATTCTCCCAGCGATGGGATAAAATACCCATCGATGGGTAAAGGGGTTCTGGAAATCCGTTAAGTATTTTTTAAAAAAAAGAGTCAATCACCCATCGATGGGAGGAAGCTCCCATCGATGGGAAGAGGAGTTCTGGAAGGAAGAACCTTCCCTCCCAGCGATGGTATAACCCACCCATCGCTTGTCCCCCCTGACTTCCAGATTTCTTCACTTCAAACCATCCCTGCAAAAAAGCAATACTTTGGTACCCAAAGTATGTCTATGGGCCTTGGGGGCTAGTTAACCTTTATTTCCCACACACACACCCAAAATTCGTTTCCTTATGCGACCACACAAACACACACGATTAGATGATCGTTTAGGAGTTACCTTGGCCAACCCATCGTCTCGTGGTTGGCGGGTTCCAGTCTACCTAAACGGAGTGCCGATATCTCGGTGTGATTTGTGTTGGTTCCGGTAACGGAATGTGGACTTTCTTCTTTTCGTCAAACTAGAAGAAAGAGTAAGGTTTATTTTGAGCATTATCCTGTGGAGATTGTTTATGATGCGAATATCCTTTTCTAAAGGATTTCTTTTCGTTAGCACCAAATATGTTGTATGTTTCATTATAGGTGAGGTGCCTATGTCTGGTAAAACACACGGGAGCTATATGTCCTACTCTATTGCAATAATGGCATACATATGCCTAGGTTGGTAACAGCTAGGGGGTCTAACCATATTCATCCTATTTTGAGAAAATGTTTGTTTTTGGGTATTTTCAAGATTCTCTCTTCTAGGTGTTCTAGCATTATTTTGTCTATTTGAAAAATTATTTTTGTACATAAAATGATTTTGATAATTCCTCCTACGTCTTTGAAAACAAGATTCCCCCTCACTTGTTGCATATACCCAAACACTTCCCCCTTTTGGCATTAGCAAAAAGCACTAAGTAAAGTTTTAAAAAAGGTACTCCCTGAGCATTGATGTTTAATACAAAACATCATTGTTGTATGTTCCCCCTGAAACTGATACCATGTTTATAGCAAAAACTGATACAACATCATTGTTGTATGTTCCCCCAAACTCCCCTTGATGCAAATCATTAGGTTTCGTGCTTGGAGCATCCACAACAAAAATTTAGTCTTCAAACACACCTACATATGCATCTAAAAATAATTTTTAGGTACCCAAAAACTTTTGGGTCCTTGAGGGTTAGGAAAATAATAATCATAGCTATAAAACAAATCCCTATGTTTGGTAAAACAAACATGTGCTATGTGTCCTATCTTAGAGCAATAATGACAAACTACATTTGGATTATGCATATGCCTAGGTTGAAACAAAAAATTTCTAGGTGATCTAATGTCATTATTCCTAGAATTATTAATTAAGTTCCTAGACTCATTTCTAGGTTGTCTCAAATTATTCCTATCACTTATAAAAATCTTAGAGTCATTTCTAGGTTGTCTCAACTTATTATTTTTATTCTTTCTAAAATTAATTTTGGTATTCCTAGGATTATTTGTTCTTGTAGGTGGTTTATCATTCTTAACTTCTTCACCAAGTTTCTTAGGCTCCTCTATCTTAAGTTTTTATATGGTGCACTTAAGTTCTACATTCTCTATTTTTAAAGACTCACAAGAGGAACATGTAGAACTTTGGTCAAAGGAAGAAGCTTCATTCATTGCCTTAATTTTATTTTTAAGGTCAAAATTATCCTTTTCTAAAAATTTATTTTCTTCTTCCAAAGCATGAAGTTTAGCCTTAGCCTCTTTGGCAATTCTTGAAGCTTTCTTGAATTCACCAAATAGTTATTTAAAAGCTTCTTGTAATTCTTCAAAAGAATGAGAGTTAGAAGTACTTATCTCTTCTTTCTCATTGGCCATGAGGCAAATATGGGTTGCTTCTTTTTCTCCGTGTAGAGTTTCGTATTTCTCATGAATGTCATCCCATAGATTCTTAGCCGTTTAATATCCGGAGAACTTTTGAAGTTCTTGCGCATCAATTGCACAAAGTAGAAGGTTAAGAGCTTTTGCATCTTGTTCCACCTTCTTGATATCTTCTTCATTGTACTCCTCCTCGAGTTTCATTACACTTTTCTTCCGCACCTTCTTCGTTGGGAGAGAAACTCCGTTGTTGATTGTCATCCATAGTGTGTAATCAACGGATTGAATGAAGATTCTCATTCTTTCTTTCCAATAAGAGTAATTTACTCCATTAAAGAGAGGTGGCCTTGTTAAAGAGTGTCCTTCGCTAAAAGATCTTGCGCTCAACATTCTCAAAAGAAATATAGATCGTTCTCTCAACCCGTTAAGGCTTTTAGAGAGTTAGGCTTTGATACCAATTGTTAGAGTAACGTCCCAACCCTAGAGGGGGGGTGAATAGCGTTTGAAACGAAAGTAACGCTGGAATAAAAATTTAAAGGCGTAAAGTAAAAGAGCAAAGATAAGGCACACCGTTTTTACCCTAGTTCACCACAACGTGTGGCTAGTCCAGCCTCCCGAGAGACTCTCTCGAGCTACACTACTTCCGTTAAGCTTACGGGTGCTTAACAAACCGTTACAACCTGAGAACTCGAGTCCCACGAGCCTCAATACACTAGCTCGGAGATACCGCACTCCAAGATTTCAACTCAAAGGAATATGTCCTTCCTTCGTACAACCAAGGGAACAAACCTCCCTTAAAGTGTTCACAATACTTAACCACTCAAGAACAAAAACTCTCTTGAAGAGTAGAATATGAGTAAACTAATTTAGATCAAGAACACACTCAATTCCTCAAGAAATGGCTCTAAAAAGCTATGTAAAAAGTTTATGGAATGATGCAATGTAAAGCTATGAAATGTGTGAGGAATGGTTGTGAAAAGTAGACCCAAAAGACCCCTATTTATACCCAAAAATGATGTGTAACGGATGGGAGTTGATTGGGGTTTAATGGCATGATTTGTGGAAATCAAATCAAAGTTGGTCTACAGGATTTTGGCCTAACTGGGGATTAGGTATCCGGTTTGACCTACGTGGTATATCTTGAGCAATTTGAGGATCAATTGCTTGATCCTCTTGCTCACGTTCCAATACTATCGGGACTTCTTCTTGTGGTTCTCGAATTTCATCGAGGTCTACCTGTAACGCCCTAATCTGTATAACCCGGAATTACACGTATTAAGGTGAAATCGGAGTTAAATAAAAATTTCGCTTGACATTTGAAAATGACAATTACTTATAAATATTAAATTTTCAGACTCTGGATCACGACCCATTTAAAAAGTATTTTCAGAGTAATGCGGAAGTACATTAATAATCAAATCATGACACATTTAAAATGCGATGACCAAATATTTGCCTGCCATCCTTGCATCTCCTCTGAGTCAATGCCCTCCGGGAGTGGTTCCATCATTGTCTTCTTATTACCTACGTGTAGTCAACGAAAAATACAAACTACACGCTTAGCGAAACCGCTGAGTGGTACCACGCTAGAATTGTAGAATAATTCGCAGACATATACATATACATATATATACGTCTACAAAAATGTATAACAATATTCATGATATGACACATTATATCATATGGTCAATTTGTTTAATGCTAATTACATGATGGCACATTAATTTAATCAATTTGATTGTTCTTGATGTTGATTACATGACGCCTATGTAATCAATATAATTTCTTGATGATGATTACATGGTGTATGATTCTAACCCACAAGGAACGACCTTGCACTATGAGATTCGCCCATTTGGTACGACGAACTCATGCCACCTTAGTGTCACGAATGAGGTGAGACTAGAAAAATAGGGGTGGTACTCGAAAGCCTGAATACCATGTACGTACACTAAGCCCGGTTAGGATGTCAGACTGCAAAGTCCCGCACAACCACGCTATAAGAGACGCATGAGGCATGATCTCTTACGCATGCATATGATGTGATATGCTTCAATATGAATGATGAAATGAATGATATGATGTGAACAATTTGCAAACAATATGAATATATAATCATGTATAAGTTTATTTGGTTGAAACATGATTGAAATATCATTTAATTAAGCTACTTGGCTCGGAACGGTTCACCGTTTGACACGGTGGTCGTCCGTGGTTCACTTCATCTCGGAGAAACGGATCACCATGACGGTCGACCGTGGTTGACCGGCGGTCGACCATTGTTGACTTGCTGGAACGGCGGCGTTCTGCTGGGCTGGTGACGGTCGACCGTCTGCCGACGGCGGTCGACCGTTTTTGCTAACAGTCGTGGTCCGTTTTGAAGTTTAATAGGACGGTCAACCGTTTGCATCGACCGTTTGGGTCTGCGAATCTTTCTCTTGATATTTTGAGTGTCTAAAATACTTCTTTAAGTCTTTTAAATACCTTTGATTAACATATACATGTTGTTGGGTTGATTTCAAATGTTTATAGATACTTATGTATATATATTAGCTTTATGGATTTGGTGTATTTTGATCGCAACATATAGATGACTTATATATACATCACATATATATATATTTTGGGATGATTTCAACATATGCATTAATATATATGTTCATGTACGAATGTGATGAATGATTTGACAAGTCTAACGCAAAGGTACAGACCTGGAAATCATTGGCCAAAACCTTATGGATGAGCGGGAGTGGAAACAACATCGAAATTCACTAACTTTGTCATTCTCATCACAATTGGACAGCCTGCCGTATTTTGGGCATATCTCCATCGTTTCTTCACAGAATCGCAAACCGTTTGATTCTGTGGATTCCTAAGATGTAAGGCTATAACTTTTGTATAGAAAGTATTTCAAGCTAACAGATGTAAAATAGCGTAAATTGGACCTGAATTCAAAGGATAGTTGCTGTCCAAGATTTCGGATATGTCGATGAACAACGATTCCGACGATTAACTCATTAACCTCAATATTCCAACACCAAACCTTATCTACGATACCTTCCGGATGTTCCTAATAATCGTTAGAGAGTTTATGGTAAGTGTTTGGAATGAAACAATATGAATTTGGTGAAGAAATATATGCCAACCCGAGGAGCTCGCCACCAATGGCGCAATCCCGGTATTTTGACCATATCTTCTTCGTTACTTATTGAAATCGCGAGCCGTTTGTTGGGCTGGATTTGTATCGTCCGGGGCTACAACTTTGGTGCAGAAAGTTTTTCGAGAATATGGATGAAAAATTTCAGTTTTTACCTATAAGTGGGCTGCTGTGTTTGAGCTCAGGATTTTAGAAACTTTGATACTTCTTCTTGTTTCTCCTTCTTCTTCCTGGCACAACAATAGATGTATTTGAGCTGGGTTTTCATCCTCCTTAGACAGCTGAGAGAGTGAGATGAAGAGAGAGTTTAGGAGATGTGTGGTGAAGTGGAAGTTTGACAAAATGGAGAATGTTTTGGAGTATTATATTGGGAAAATTTGGAACTATTAGGTTAGTGGGTGAGTTAGTAGTTTCCTTTAGTGACTAATTGAAGATAGGCTACATGATTAAAGAGATTTGGAGATTTTAAAATATTCTCCTACTCCGTAACTGATAAATTGGCTAAAACAGTACGCGCTTTTTGCCCAAACTGCTCCAAATTAAAAACGGATAGTAGTTTTGGAATCAGACTGTCAAAACTAGAATTTTGACGTAATCAAAATATTTTTCTGAGAACTTTTATTTTTCTCAGTGTTCGGGTCTATCTTAGTCATAAATTAATTTTATAATATGAATGAAACAAAAGCATATGAATTAAATCCAAATGATACTTATGGCGTTGTCAAGTAATAAATTTTAATATTTAAAATCGTCATGTCTTGAAATCTATAATTCAGATTGGTTCATAAAATGTACCGTTGGATTCGTCTCTTCGAGACATATCCATAAAAAAATAAGTTTTTAACAAAAAGTCATTATTTTGAAAATCCCTTCGTTTTTGGTCAAACGTAAAAATATTCTTTATTGGATCAAAAACTACTTTTGATTTATAATAAATTATAGGCCATATTTTGTGGCATTACATTTCTTCCCCCCTTAAAGAAATTTCGTCCCCGAAATTTCCTTAGACGAAGTCATTTAAAATGATGATGTACAAAATCATGAATATTCATTGTTTTGTAAAACACAAACTTTGAGAAGTTGTTTTCTATTTCTTTTGTTGAGTGTCATGAGTATGACATACAAGTTCTCTTTCAAGAAAGGATATACGCGGGTGATAGATGTAACGTGTTTGAATTTCTTTCATGATGACTTGCGTCAAATATACTCTTAGACTTGTTCTTGCCGTGTTGTAGGAGTCTTCAGGAGTTCTTCTAGAATCATTCTCAGACGACTTTGTCTGAAATGTTGGTTTCACAAATTACGCTTCGTTATTTACAAGCTGGAACGAATTATTTCGAGGTTTGACGTTTTTACATAACGGTATTTTGGATAATGACTATAACCATAGTCATCATTCTAGGTTTCTTAGATGAATACGTAATTATAGTTTCAAAACTTGAACTCTCATTAGCGATCTTTAATAGAGTTGTTCTAACTAACGTAATGTCAACAATTAGATTAAAGCTTGTTTGTAACAGTTTACACATATATCACACTTATATATAAAAATAATATATGTTTTTATCACATTGTAATGATTGGATGAATGTTTTGATAACACTTCTAATTTTGTCACTATTTGTCTTATCAAGATGATATGTAGTTATTCTTGAATACTGATTTTCTGATTGATGATTCCAGAATTGCCTTGGAATTTCAGACTTTTTAAATAATTATCATAATAGGTAATGCAAGTGTTGTGTGGAGTAAGAATATTAGTGATATGACGAATGTTCTATCATTATGATAGAACATTTCAGACTTTTTAAATAATTATGATAGAACATAGTGTATTCGTCATATCACTAATATTCTTACTCCACACAACACTTGCATTACCTATTATCAAAAACAATATAAGTTATACACATAGTCATATTCTAATATGTTTGGGATTCTACATGCGTGATTTCTGGAGATCGGTATCATAAAACATCTTTTTGGTTTGATGAAGAATTATGAGTTAAAACAAGTTCTCAATGATTTGTTAAAAAAAAGGAATTCAATCTTTTCAAGATTGATCAAATGAGATGCTTCAAGTGTTTAACTAACACATCAAGTCTGAATACTTCAAGGATATAAGTCACAAGATACGAACATAGCATTTGCGAATTATCGTGGCAAATCATAGTTTTTCATCCTTTGATGTTTCACTCTTTGGAAGTTACTCAAGGGGTCATTGTCATAGGTAAATACCATTTTGACTTTTCGTCTCGAATTTGAACGTATTTTAGGATAGCGAATCTAACTGTTCATGAGTGTTGATATGTCGTAATATGAGTAGTCTGTAGTTTTGACGAGTACGTCCTTGTCTGTAAGTAAATTGAATTCATTTTACTGTACGTATTTCGGTTGATGATAATTGTCTTTTCCTATAAGGTCATGTTCCAAAGGCTATATGTATCTTGATTGTGGCATTAGTATTTCACATTCTCACATTATGGAAGGAACTTCTCGAACACTTCCTTATACCATAAAATCAATTGGTCTACTTGGTAGTCATGTTCTTAGTAGGAATCCAAAATTCATGGTTTTAGCAGTAGATCTAGGAAGGGAATTGGTAAGACCAAAAATTAGGCTTACCTATGGAGGAGGCAATGTTGGCCTTCAAGGAGTTGTTGCTTCAACAGTCTTTAATAATGGTGGTAGAGTCAGAGGTTTCATACAGGGGCATATAGCATCACGAGGGGTCTATGGACCAACATATGGTATAGAGTACACAGTTTCCAGCACCTATTGTAAGTATTTCGAGATGAATCATGTTGTGGAGGATTTTATCGTACTTCCCAGAGGCGTTGATACTATCGAAGGTTTGTTCACCTTAATCTCATGGGCATCTGAAGGGTTGCAAAGCAGGCCTATTGGTCTCTTAAACATTGATGGTTATTTTAATAACCTAATTGAATTTCTAGATAATGCAGTGAGGCAAAACTTCATGGCCTCCAGCCAGAGGAAACTTTTCATTTCTTCTTTCTTTGTTGATGAGCTTTTAGACAAGCTAGAGTTTGCTAAGGCTTTCCCAGGTCCTGGTGCTAGTTATGACGAGTTTGCAAATCCTGGAAGACTAGACTTAGAATTGTATCTGTAATATTTCCATGTTGAAATAATTTGTCCATGTACATTATGCGTTAGTCACAAATATCGTTCTAAGCTGTATGGCCAGTGCATTTCAGAAGAATATTTATTTCCAACATCAAAATATACCATGTAAATATTAATCCTTTTCTTTATCTTCTAGTCTTTCACTGTTGGTGTCACTGTTTCACATCTTGTTTTGTATTGTCATCTTGTTACGACCTTTCACGTCAATAGGGTATACGAACGATTCAATTATCTTAATGTTTGTATGTAGATTCACTCCTATAATGCGTTTCAGATTTGATACATATGTCGTATTCGATCTGGTTTGAGAGGTTCTATTCATGCTATTAGAAAACGACAGATTCACTTTTGGAGAATTTGTTCACTTCCTATCGGAGAAAGTTCTTTCTTCAACGTATTCTTCGGCTTGATAGAAGTTGATTCACTATGTTCGCTTAGCTACTCACGTATTACGACATACGAATATGTCGTGCCTATAGGGCTTACAATCCCTCTTCTTAATCCTTGTGTAACGCCCTCAAATCAGCCTAGTTTTAAATAAATAAATATTATTGAGACTCATTATTTTAAATTAATAAATATTGAGATTTCGATCCGTTCAAATGATTTCCAAAGATTATGTATTTTAATTATAAAAGATGTTTTAATATCGGGTCTCTCGACATTAATTAAGTAAATAAATTAATTAATGATTGGGATGGATCCGGAATTTTGGAAATAAAGATTTGAGAAAAAAATATTTTGAAGATATCATAAATTTAGTTTTGACTGTTTATTTCCGAAAATGTAATCGGTTCTCGATTTGGATCAGTTTGGGGGGAAAACCGCGTACCGTTCAAGTCAGATTTTACATAACGGAATAGAATTTAAGGAATTAATTCCCCATTTACTTCCTTCCCTCTCCACGCCACACCCACTCTCTTTTCCTCTCCCCATATTCATGGGCACTGGAAAATCTTGAACGATTTCTAGACCTCAGAAAGAATAGAATGATTCGCTCTAGTCGTAGTCTTACTAAGAAAAATAAGAAAGAGTTCCACCCTTATGTTGATCCCTTGCAAAATACCAAAATACAAAGAAACCACTCCTCTGGAAGCTCGATGTTGGTCTAGCCCCGATGCCTCCATAAGAAATTCTTTTCCCGAAACACCAACACACATGTGACTCACTTGGAAATCAAGACGCCAACTCAATTTCACTCTAAGTGATGAATAACATTTCTTAAAACTCAATGGAACTATGATTTCTAATGTACATTTTGATATTACCTCACCATGTGCCTATTGTTGTTTACCTTTCATGAATCTGTGGTTTGCCTTCATAAAAATCTTTTCTTTAGTTGAATTGAATGATTCTGTTCCGTCTCCTTTTCATTTGGTTTGTTTTTCTTGAACCTGATTCATTACGGGACTTAGATTTATTTAATGGGTTTCTTTTTTCTTTGGTTTTCCTCTCTGTGATTGAAAGTTTCACTCTTTGCTTTTATGTTCTAACACAGATAGCTGTGAATTTGTGTTCTAACACTGAAACTCCACCCTTAATAACAGAACATAACATCAAGTATTCATAGAAAAGTCAGAATTTATAGTGTAAACATAGTGTAAACAATTTGCGTCATAATTGACTTCAAAAGAATTGAGAATCATATGCCTATATAAATACACAACTTAGAAAAGTCAAAGGAATTTATAATCTTCAAAAGTACAAAACTGTAGACTTCTATTTGTCAAACGTAGAAAAATCAAAGGAATTTATATAGGTACCGAACATCTGAAGTCATCAAAAGTACAGATGTGAAGTAAGGAAAATTGCTACAAAAAAACCTGCATATTAAATATGCATGGGCACCCAAAAAAATTACAGAACCTTCAAAAAAATCAATATAAGTTTTTTTAAAAGTCTAAACTGAATTTAGAACTTCATTGCATAGAAAAGTAGAACTACTTTCTAAAAAAGCAACCTTACTGGAGGACAAAAAATAGATGCTAAAATACCACTTATAAAAACAATATTCACAAATAAACATCCTTCCAGAACTAAACATTCCACAATGTAAAAAATACAGCATATTTCACAATAACAAACACATTACAGAAGCTTCCCATATGAAAGCACAAAGCCCATTAATCAAACAAGCAAGGCAATCCATGGTAAGCAAGGTTGAAAAACACACTGACTCATATCTTTGTTCATACAAACATCTAGAATTGATAATCATATGCCTATATAAATAAACAATTTATAGAAATTAAAGGAATTAAATGGGTACTAAAAATCTGAAATCATCGAAAGTACACAACTGCACACTTGTATGTGCCAAACTTAGAGAAATCAAAAGTACAGAAGTCCACACTTCTATTTGTCAACCCAGTAGATCAAATAAGCAAGAAATATATGGGCAACTGCTAACTTTATACCAGTAACACGAGTGAGCAAATCCATTTAAGTTATTTCCTAGCCCAAATGTTAAAATTCTTAATTAACTATAGAGAGATTAATGAAATAAAAAAAATAAATGGGGCATGCAGTAAAAACAAAAAAAATTAAACAACAAAATAAATGGAGATGAAAGGAGACCAGTGCTTAGGGCTCATATTATAGAAGTGGGTGCTGAAAGGTAACCATGCAAGGATAGGCAGCGAAAATAAAAATTTTAACATCCTAACATGATTATCTTGCCCAGAATCACGTACTAAAACTTATAGTGAGTAAGAAATTTATACCTTTCTCCGTAAGCGGTAAAAACGAAGGAGTCGTAGAAAGAGCGTTGAAAGTGCAAACGTAACCGTTCAAGCGTCCGGTCTCCAACTTTGACACACGAACAACGCCGGAGTCTACCACAATCTTTATGCTAGTAAAGATTATAGTAGTATAAAATATAAAGATTAAAATTGGGATAATAATAATCTTGTATATTTCTATAGAAAATATTTCTAATAATATTTAGAAAATATTATAGATATTTTCTATACATAAAATGATATTCATGGAACCCCAAATAATCACTTTCTCTCTCTTAAAATGAATATCATAATCTTTTTTTTCTCTTCTCTTATGAAAGTGGCGTGGAGGAGCATTTAACAAATTCAAAGTTGTGTAATTAATTTGTCATTAGCTAAATGACAAAACAATTAGCCAACTCAAATTCCAATCAAAGAAAATTTCTCCTTTAAAATCTCTTTTGGCCGTAAGTGTAGATTGTGAGAAGGATTTGTGAAATTCTTCTCCACTTAAATGTTCAAAGTGTATTTTATTTGACACCAAAA